AACCTTTTGCCAGGTAGCATTAAACCAGCACAGGAGTAATGAGACAGGGGGGCAGCAGGGTATTTGATGCTGGGTGGACAGTGGGGGTAGGAGTCAGTAGGTCCCTAACAACAAACAATGTAACAGTGTAACAGCAGTTCCAGTTTAAACCGTCTGCTGGCATCAAAAGGGCCAATAATGACAAAAATCACTGATTAAATTCATTACAAAAAACAGATTTTAAATACAATTTATTTAGAAAAAGAAAATGATTTAAATTCTGTTTATGTACAAGGACTCACTTGGATGCCCCAGAAGTAAAGTCATTCTGGCTGAGCTCCAAGAAAAGTGACTCAAAATGTGCCTGAGGAGATGATGACAGGGGTTTTCTGAGGAGAATTTTGTTTTTGTACCCAAATAGCTCATTGAAACACTGGCACAGAATCAAATAAATGATCTTCTACTTATTCTCTAAGTTCACGGTTTCCACAACAGAGATGAACTTTTGCCACCATTTCTTGCCAGTATGCAGTACAGTTTGTACTGATAAAAAAAGATTTCAAACAAATGGATAAACAAAAATGTGTAACCGTTCTGAAGAAGAATGATAGTTATTCAAATTATATAGGGGAAAATCACTTTAACCTCACTTGAGTACAATTTCTTCCACAGCTTTTGAGATGGATAAACGTATTTTATTAGACAAAAAAATACTTATTCCATCTTTAATTGATTATTGTTGCAATAAAAATCCCTGTTTAAAAGCCTATTGAATTTAAATTCTGCCTTTTATATTTTTATATAATTTTATTTATTATATTAAACATTTTAATGTAACATATAACTGTGTTGTTTGTTTACATTGTTTGTGTATATTGCTAAACACCGCCCCCCGATGGCCGCGCGGGGACTGACAGCGGCCGCACGTTGACACCAACCGTCCCGCCCTGCGGTTGAAACTTTGGCGGCGCCCGCATCAGAGGCGCTCCGTTTGACACACAGCAACCACCGGAGGGGCGGGGTTCTCTCTCTTCTAAACCGATACAAGCGGTTAGACTCCTCCCGTCGCCCGTCGGCGGACGACGCACAGAGAAGCGAACAATCAACAGTTTTTCTTTCAAAACATTACCGGACATGAGGAAGTAAGAGTCAGTGAGTGAGAGTGGGCAGGCTGGAGAAACAGGGTAACAGACACTCCTTTAACACGTTAGTTAGTCAATAACACAACGATAGCTAGTCAGTGACATTAAAAACTGAACGTCAGGGTCACTAACGTAGCAACAGAGGACAGCAGAGGTGTATTTATTTAGGTTATAGTAACGTAAATATGACGAGCCTACAACATAGCCAATGCTAGCTAACATGAGTGTTACAGCGCGGCAGTCTGGATCTGTCAGACTCTAACTTAATGACAATGAACGTAAGTGATCGTGTCAGGAGTAACGTTACAGACACTTCCTGTAGCAGTGTCGTGCTGGCCGGTAGCTAGCTGTCTATAAACAATGGCTTCAGTGGAGAGAGGCAGCGAGGAAGAGGCAGCTCCTGATGAGGAGGATGGAGACGAGGAGCGGGGTTGGATCATAAAGCCAGGCAGGTCGGAGGCTCGTAAGGACCCCCCAGCAGACACTGTGTCGCGGCGGCTCTGGAGAGGACTTGAGGAGGACTCCGAGAGGAACACTGGAGCGACCATATCAAGTGGAGTGATGTCTGATGGTCCCTCCGTGTCCCCCTCCAGCCTCATGGACACCTGTGGTCCTTCCATATCAAGCCTCTCCTCCTCTCACTCACCCACCCATCACCATGCCAACTCCTCCTCCTCCTCATCCTCCTCTTCCTCGGTCTTGTCTCTGACTCCACCCTTGCCTCCCTCTGTGGAGCTCCCAGCTGTGTTGACTGATACAAGACTGACCCTGGATGTGTACCAGGGAGGAGCAGCTGCACTGCCTCTGATTTGGAGGTCCATCCCAGAGCAACTGAGGGGTCTCCAGTACGTGAGACTGGGCTCTGAGGACGAACCAGGTCTGGATGGTGCCCTGGAGGTCCTACACCACCTGACAGGGCTGCGCTCACTTGCTATTCGAGGTACTTTATTCATTAACTTAGCATAGAAAGTAAAAGTGTTTCATTGTATTTATTGTTCTTAGCATTAGAAAAACGTTTACACACAAATGTAGATACAGTACATACGGTGTTAATACATTATAATAATAATCATTTCCTGTCTTTTTCCTGTGTTTGCTCCAATCTTTAATTCAAGGACACTGTTTTTATGACTCGCGAGGTGACCCGCTGCCTGGCCTCCTCACCACTTTGCCCACATCTGTTTCCTCCCTCTCTCATCTGGTGCACCTGGATCTCTCCTTCAACCAGCTCTCCTGTCTGCCGTCCTGCCTTCTCAGCTTGCCCGCGCTGTCCTCTTTGCTCCTCGGTCACAACCACCTCTCGGCCTTGCCTCCTGACATTGGCCAGCTGTCCTCCCTCACCTACCTCTCCCTCCTGGGGAACAAGCTGGTCTCTCTCCCCCCAGGTGTGGCTCATCTGAAAGCACTACAGACACTGGATGTTTCACATAACCTCCTTCAGCAGCTACCTGATGAAATTGGTTCCCTGGAGGAGCTAGTAAAGCTGGAATTGTCTCATAACGAGCTGAAGCAGCTACCAGAGAGCATGGGTGAGGGTGTGAGGGTGTGTCAGTGAAAGGCCATCACAGTAATTAACTGACTAACTAACCTTTTTTGTTTCATGATAGTTAAATTCAGTAAGAAAGCAGAAGTAAAATGCTCCTTTTCTGTTGCCCAGGCTCTCTTCTCTCCCTCAGAGAGCTTGTCATCTACAGCAACGACCTGCGGCTGATCCCACATTGTCTGAACAAACTGCCTCTGCTGAAAATAGACGTGCGTGACAATCCTTTGGGACAACCCCCGACCCCGCCTCCTCTCCCTCCTACACCTGGTGAGCAGAGACAAAAAAAAAAGGGAAAAGGGCATCAAATTGATTAGTGCTTAAAGCAGTTGTCATTAGATACCGTGTTTACATTTGCTCTCCGCATATTCACTGGGTAGCATCGCTGTTTTCTTTACAGATCAAGCAGAACGAAAAATTCCAGAGTTGCATCTCGGATTTAAGCAGCACAGGTACAGTCCCGCTCTCAGCGCGGAAACAATTTCAGTATTGTCAATGAAGGCGTTTCTGACAAGATTAAAGATGTCTTGCTCCTTTTGCTCCTTAGTTTCTGTGTTTCGTCTGCTGGGTGTCATGTGTTTCTCCCAGGGGGGGCTGAGCTGCTGTTCCCCCCGGGGTGCCTGGTGACAACCACAAGACTGGAGTGGGTTGAGAAAAGGCCAGAAAAGAAGTGGGTGTGGTTAGAGGAGCATGACATCTTACTGAGTCGTCCACTGGAACTTCGTCCTCATGGAATTACGTTTTTAAAGGTAAAAAAATCAAACTTAATGACCATTTCTAGTCGAGGAACAGTTCGATTTCACACAGTTTCTTTGTCTGTTTGCCACTACTCTGTGGAAAACAGTCGTATAATGTTGTCAGTGGCTCTGGAGGTACTTTGACAGGGTTATCTCATCTGTAACAGTCTGCATTACATACATTGAAGGAGTGGAGTTTAAGAGACGTGGGCATTTACCAGGCAGGGAGGATCTAATGGAAAATGCTATCAAGTTGCGTTATGGGAAATGTAGGATCCAGTGTTTTTGGAACTTGACCTAATAGGGAACATTTACTTTTAAATCGATCTATCAGAAGTTCTCCAATTTTATGGAAGTTTAGTACTTAATTACTGGACTACTTTAAATTAGTACAATAAAAACTATTTTTTTTGTTCCTCATAGGGTGCTTGTTCTGACATTTGTGTGATGTCAACTGATTAAACTGTGAAATCTTTACAGCCGGTGGAGGTGTGTGTGCCATATCCTCGGACGAAAAGAAGGGAGGTGGTGGTGCAGAGGTTTGACGGACAGTCATGGAGCACTCTGCCCACAGTTCTGAGGAGAGGAAGTGAGGGCCATAGCAGTCACCCTGGTGGGCGTCCGGCCAGGGTAAAGTATCAAACCTCCCACTGTCAACAGCTGTATTTAAGTTTTTTTTTCTCTGTAGCACACATTGTAACATTAGTGTTGAAAACAATGATGTCTTGGTGTACCTGAAGCTGGCCTGCTGCGCGGTGAGCCAGTTCTCCTGGTTTATGGCAGTGTCCCGTCCAGTGAAGGACAGTTGCTCTGTTACACCAGCTGGAGCTCTGCTGGTGTCCAGCTCTGATCCTGGAATTAAGCTCCACTTCCCTCCAGACTCCACCGTGCAGACCCGCGCTATAACTTTACAGGTAGCACGACACTATATGAGAGTTTGAATCAGTTTGTCACTGAGGTATCTGTGGTTTGCAAGGCTTTAGTTCATCTCTCTTTCTGTAGGTGCTGCAGGTGCCTGTGTCAGAGGTGCAGGCGCTGTGTGGTGATCCTCAGGCTAGTGTTAGCCCTCTCCTCTGCCTCTCCCAGACTCCCAGCATACATTTCCTGCAGCCTATCAAAGTTCAGGTCCCTCTGCCATCTGGAGTCACAGGTACAGTATGCCACATACCTAAATCTCCATCCTCATATATGTTTATAACAGTATTAACACTGTTTCGTTCTGCAGGCCACACAGTTGATATGTCCTGTTTGCATCTGCTACATGGAGACCCCAGTGCTCAAACCTGGACTGACATTACATCGCAGGTGTCTCTCTACGTTACCCATTTGTATGCTATTTTCTACATCACACATTTCTCCTGGTAAGTTCTTATAATATATTCTCATTATTTGTGTTTTTATTTATATATTTACATTGTGTTAACACAGCTTTGTGTGCACCATCATAGGTACTGGCTGTGGTACACCACTCATCGCTGTGTTAGCGGGGTAGTCAGGAAGGTCTATCAAAAGCTAAAACAGTTCAAAGTCCAGTTCCTCGTCCTCCAGCGGAAGACTGATCCTTTACAAGTTATGCTACAGTGTTTACCTTCTAACAAGGTTTGTAGCTCTCCTCCTGTCTGTGCTGTAACTGTGTAATCTAATAGAACTACCAGCAGCCTATAAGCCCTCTTCTCTCAGTTTCTGTGTGTTGTGTCTCAACCTGCATGAGTCAAACTGATTTCATCATGGGCGTTAATGAAATCGTAACATTAATGCACAAATGCTAAACAGAGATTGTGATGCTTCCTGCCCAGGTGGACAGCAGAGTGCAGTCTCTGTCAGCGCAATATGATGGACCACAGCCTTCAGACCTGTGTGACCTGCTGGAAGGAGAGCAGTTCTTTGCTGGCTTTGAGAGAGGCTTAGATATCAGCACAGGTCTGAAGTCCTCTTTGAGGCTCTACCTTACACAAATACACATTTTTTTCTCCCTTGCCTTCAAAGGTCTTTTGATGTGCTGTTGTGTAATAATTGTCCTGAAACAGCTATTTGTTAGAAGTCTTGAGAAGATATTTTCCTGTTTTCTCTAGAGAGCCCAGACTGCGTGGGAGGAAGACTGCGTTTTGAGTTTTACTCCAGCATGAATAATCTGAAGGAAGTGTACATCTGTCCAGCTCAGGGTCAGAAGGGGCCAGTGAGGGGTCAAGTAAGACATGTTTGACAGATAAGAAAGTGCAGTGACTAGAAATAATGATTTCTGCTGTGTTTTCTATTTGTGTACATATAAACAAAGTCACTTATGATTCTTTCCTTTCTACATTAAATGGCAGTGCGACTGGTGCAAAGAGTGCATAACCTCACCTATGTTATAACAAACAATAAGTAAAAGTCTGTACATATCAGTCATATATATACTGTACAGTACAGTCTGCACTAAAGCCCCATTTGGATGGGATTAACATTACAGGGGGAGGTTGGGATTAAAACAGTCACTGTAGTTCTCAGTAATGTACCTCATCGTTCCAGGGGGCATTTTAACCATCGGAAAACTACAGGATGTGGTCTGTAATAGACATTCAGCAAGACAAAGATAAAAGAGAGAGCTAAATGTCTCCCTGGGGGGGGCAAGTTGTGAATTTGGCGAATCAAAAATTATACTGCTTCTTTGAGTCAAATCTTAACATGCTGTTGTAATCTGTTATTTTTGGAAGCAACGAGCTCGGAGAACAAAGTGACACAAAGCAGATTTCACTTCAACAGTGTTCAGTAGTTTAAAAGAAAGCACACAGAATTACATCGTCAAGAACAAACTATTTACATAAAGCTTGAGATAATAAAGAATTACATGGAAACAATGGGGCAGTCATAAGGCGTCTACGTTGGTAATGAAACAGATGGGATGATCATGGGACAGAACAGCTTGTGAAGACATGAGTCAAGGTCAGATTAAAAAAAGAATGGTTTAGGGTGTCTAGGGTGATAATTGAATGTCACAGGGATAGAGAAATATTTCACAACACACACAGACAGGACACATTGATATTCAGCGTGACACACACTCCCTGAGGATAACATATCTCTTAAATAAACATCCGTATATCCGCTCAGAAATCATTGAAAAAAGACGCTTCAGAACTTGCCTGAGAATCGTCACATTATCAAGTTATCTTCAGTAGCAAAGTAATTGTGTGTCAAGTGATTGTTGTCAGTACATGTGTGGGTACATTGCAAACAGGAACTGCTAATAGTTACTTCAGCATACTTTTAGTAGTGCCAGTTTGCCAAAATGTAAGCAAATGTAGGCCTACCTGTAGCTGACATTACAATGGCCTATTTTATTTAATTGTAATGGTCTCTGATAAAAGCTATATAAGCTTTTATGCCCGGTAATTATTCGGTGTAAATTAGAGTATTGCATTGTATAACACTGTAACATGTACCAGTTCACCGTGGTGTACCTCTGTTACAGGTGTCTTTTTATAGAGGGGAGATTCCCAACAATCTGCCAGAGGAAGTGGCGAGGAAGAGGAAAGGAGATGACAGCCAGTGGCTTGCAACTTTACCGCTAAGACTTCCTGTCAGTTGAAGTGATTTTTTTTTGCCTTATTTCATATGAAAACATAGATATGTTTGTATTTTTTGATAAAGGAATAGTATAGTAAAGGAATTAACATGAACCTATTGGTATTCTTACAATGCAATATAATATTAGAATAATTGTATATTCTTAGAAATAGAAATACAAAATATATGTTCCCATACACATTAATATTTAGCATCTAAACTAGATGCTTATTTTTTCCAACTGTTTGTTAGCTGCTACTTACAAATAATGTCACAACCTGAGTGAAACACTGCACATATGCTCCTCTCTGTTTGTCATAGGCTCTAAACTCAGAAAATAATTTCATCATGGAGGAGCTGCAGTATCCTCCTCTGAACCTGGGTGACCCTGAGAGCGGCTACCTCACAGAAGCCAACCTGCTGTCCATCTCTCTCCAGATAGGACAGGACTGGCGTACTATTGGTATCAATCTTGGCTTAAGCTACCAGGAGTTGGACCGCATCCAGTACAAGTACAGGTAGGAAATGACAAACTGCATTATGTTCAGTAAAAATGTCTGAACTGAACTCAACAATAATTCTCAGGTGAGGATATTTTCTGATTTGATTGTTTTTACAAGCTATTATTAACCTTTTAGATCTAAATTCGGTGCAGTTATATGTGTATTTTAAGTCCAAGGCTCAAAGGCGACATCTTAAGAGGATTGTGCAGCTTTTACGACCACTAAACCTGCACAAATACGACAAGAAGAAACCATGTAATTCACAAAGCATCTGCAAAGGGGGAAATACATGCCCCTCAATGTGCTGCTAAGCAAATAGCATCTTTCTGTTCTTCTGCTTTTGGGATAATATGCATACATTTGGTGTAAAATTTCCCCCTTTATGTGAAAATGAGCTTCATTGCAAAAAAAGTCTACTTCACAAATATCAGTGCACATGCAGTTAAAGTGAAATTATTTGTGTCTTCAGAGAGTTGGTGGTAACTGAAGCAGTGAGCCAGGTGAAGCAATAGCACATCACAGTCCATCATATGCACACATATGGCACAGACAGTACAAACCTGACATTTATCATGAGGGATTTAACTGTGAAACAACGGAAAACATACTGCCGTGAGAAACAGAAACTATGGTTACGCACTGGAGAGAAAACCGCTCTCCATGAACCCAGAAGCACGAGGGAAAGCACACTGTTAAAGTACCCTAGATAAGTCACTCTGAGAAACACTCCATAAAGAGTGAGTCATAGGAAAACAAGAGACATCCTGCACATAGAAACAAATGAAAGAGCATGAGGAGATAATACTATATAATCAGGATAAAATTATATATTACAATCAATTAGAATCAGAATAAGTTCAAACATTTTAAGATATGAGTGGAAAGTATTATTCTTGCAACTGCATTTCTACAGTTTTTTTTTTTAACTCAAACGTTGCTTAACCACGTCATGTGATACAGTCACCTCTGGATCTGTGTTTTTGTGTCAACTTTGAACTTTATTGAGGGAGGCTGCAACCTGCAGCCAAATGGGCTACATATTCAATTCACGCTATTCTATTCAATTCAGTTCAAAAGGGCTTTATTGGCATAGGACACAGAGGTTTACAGAGATTAAAATTAAACTTTTAACTTGATCTAGTCCGTGTCAAGTCTTGCTCAAGCTGCATAAATACAGGTGGCCATCCACGTTGTCAAAATCAGCTAAATATTCAGCCATTTATATTTAACATAACACTAAGCTACACTTTCTGTACTCCAGCACAACAAGCTCTTGTTTTGCTGGAAAAAGTCACCTCAACTCTCAGAACTTCTCCTTGAATGAGAGTTGGTTAGACACACAGTGGATTAAGCAAAAGGAAACATTTTCCTGCAGGCTGCAGCACTTTCACTGAATGCTGGACCAAATTCAAAACTTACTGTCCCCATTTCTCACTGTGACTCATAAACATGGCAAAATAAATTACCCTTTAAGAACAAATATTACTGGCACAGCTGCAGAAAATTGCAGATGAACAGATGCAAAACAAGGGCAAATTCTCAGCTGTGGAACTTTATGGGCGTGTTGTTGTGCTGTAATATTAGCACAATATCTTTTTTGTGAATTAGATGTCAAGAGGGGCAAGTGATGAGCAATTCATGGTGCTATCAGCGGCTGCCCCTCAGACAACACACTGCCAAAATATAATCTACAAATTCTGCCTGACATGTTTGGTTTTACTGGAAACTTTGATATGACTAGAAAACAATTCTTATCTGTGCAACATGAATGTTTACAGAGTTTCATATGGAAGCAGTGCTCAGTTATAATCAAATGAAGAAATCCAACCTCAACCTGATCTGTTTAATCTATAATTTTGTTCAGGAAATGGTAAAATGTGTAAACCTGCAAGAGAGATTTCTATAAAAATGTACATTTTGTGTTTGTCATCTCTGCATGGGTGAATGATGTAACCCGTGCATGCACACGTGTGATAGCACAGCCAAAGCCTCTAAGGGAACAAGATGGAGTGAGATGTAATGTGACTGAAGGAAAACCACAGTGGGAGAGAAATGGTAGAGAAATTTGATTGTTTTAATCTGCACTGTCAGCCATCACTAAGCCATCTGGGACACTGCAGGAGATTACACACAGACTGATGCTCATCTGTCCCTCCCCCTACTCCTCGTGCTCAGAAAACCTCTCATGACGCATCCTGGAGGTGGAGGAAAAATGCATTATGTAAAGAACCATACATATGCATGTTGTGTAGATGGTTTTCTGTGAAAGGCTTTTATACAGGAATGCATTCACATGTAATGTTTACAGTGATATTTGACAGAAGTTGCTAAATAAATGTTTTACTTTGGCAGCGGGGGGTGTATAGCCTGAATCCCTAAAGATTTGATGCACAAATATCCTCAGTTGTCTATCTTTTAACTGCATGGAGACTCTGTATGATTACGTTTTTAATACAGTGTGTTTATTAACGTAGAGTATCTAGAAAATGATTTCATCCTACACTGGAACTGGAATAACAGTGCTGCTCATGGCCATAGCTGGTTATTCCAATTAAAGGATTTTTTATAAATAATTTAAATCTAAATATATATTTACATCAGTTACCTTTTAATCCTTTGGTTGGTCACTGTAGCCAATATAACGTGTTTTATGTATGTTCTGCTCTTCTCAACAGGGATAACCTGGGAACTTTGGTGCTGGACATGCTTTTCCACTGGGCCCGGGGACAGAGGAACGCAGGACCAGGGGCAGTGTCGAGGCTCGTGTCCGCTATGATAGAGAGCGGCAGGAGGGACCTGGCGGATGAGATTGAGGACATTGTCAGTATAGGGAGGAGAAAGTACTCCGAGTCACTGAGGAGAGTGGGCCTGGAAGCAGAGGGCTCCTCCCTCGGTGAAACACAGCAGTAGAGGAACCCACGCTGGGTGCAGATGGCTGACTTACACTTGAGTAACCCGTTTGTTTACAATGTCCCCCCCATCTTCTCATCCTGCTGTCTAAACAACTGTCCTGGAGTACAAAGAAATCTCTCAATCATGATAGCCAGAGACTAGCTGGTGGCACCTTTCAGAGAACTACAGGAGGCAGGTGAAATGGATGAACTGCATGAAGGTGGATGGCCTGTGGCTTGTTTTCACCACTTTTTAAAAACTCTTTCAGTGTGCGAGCAACGCTGTGGAGGTGGAAACGTTCTGCTACCAAAACCCGGAAATTTCTGCCTGAAATACGGTATCAGAGAGTATGCATCTGTGCACTGATCCGATACATCGTAATTCATTAGCCCTAAAATGGGATGACGAAGTGACCCCCCTCCTCCGACTCTTACAAAGGGTTTAAACTGAGCCAGGCCAAACAACTGCAGCAGACTTACACACACAGACTTTGTAGTATTTGTTATAAAATAATAATTTACAGAATATATATATTTATTTCTATTTTTTAATGCACATGTATAGGATTGGTGCTAGGAATCAGTATCGGGAAGGAAAAACATCTCTAATGAAAGGTGATTTTTATGACTTCATTCTTAATATTTTTGTCGTTAGTATGTCATAAGTTGGATTTAGCATCTCATTACTGTCACATAATATTGAATTATAGTTTATAATTGACACAGAATCTCCTAATTTCAATTTACTATCCCATAAGTTTGACAATGTCCTCATTATGACTCAGTGACTCATGTGACTTACTATGAGTATTTTCATCCCAGTGTTATGTTTTATTTTTCATTTTCCAAGAAATGACAATTCCATGAAATTCAGGACCGAGTTAAGAGGCTGAGCAAACACTGGGAGCTGTTGGGACGTACTGAAAGTTTTTATGGTTGATTAAATGTCTTCCTTGTGTGCCTTTGGTCACCTAGAAACAAGCTCAGCTGCAGCACAATCTCAGTGACAAATCAGGAACTGTTTTTACATTGTTTTCATCTTTAGTAAAAACTCATATAAAGACATGTGTCAGCTGTTTTCTTCTGCTGGGAGTCCTGTAGTGCAGCTGGTCTCAACCTGGGGGGTCGGCTTCATCATGGGGGCCTTCTTTATTTTAAAGGTTGTATATTTGAAAGTATAAACAAAAGGCCTATATCTCAGCATTTTGTTCATTTCTGTGAAAAAAGGGGATGAAACTGTTTATATTCTAGATTATTTCTTAACTTATAAACTTTAAAAACAAATCTCACAGGATAAAGGTGAAGACCTGAACACGAGCTACATGCACAGAGTCTCTGTTAAACAGCCTCATCCTGCGTTAGAAAAGTATGCAGTTAAAGCAACCTAAGAGCTAAGAGAACAATGGCCGAGCAGCAGGGAGAAGAAAACACTGAATTTGTAGGATTGTTAAAAAAAAAAAACACAATACAAACAGAACAACTGGTGCAATAGTGACAGGAAATGTGTTCACAGTTTGGTTTAAAGTGCAGTTTACCATCTGTTATTGTTATGCACTGAATATAATATTAAATATCTGTTATTTAGTGCACTCACTGACAGATAACAGAGGCTTGTGAAGCTCTGCTGCAGTGACTCATTGCTTGCTGCATGCTGCCCCTCATCCCCAATATTTCAGCTGGAGCCATTTTTCTATTTTTGGGTGTTCAAGGTCATCAGGTTGAATCGTCACGATGACGCTGCCCGCCATCCCCTCCCTCCGCTCCCCCTTTTACACCTTTTACTGCAAATAAAATATATCTGTGTGTACTTCTACTACACACCACTAGAGGACCCTTTTTTTAAATCCCTTTTCTGTTTCTTTTTTTATTCCGAGTCCATCGCCAGCTAGGCTGCTCCCTCCTCCCTCCTCCCTCCTTCCTCCTCCCTCCTTCCTCCCTCCCTGCCTGCTTTCACTCCCACCTCCTCTACCTCCCTCCACTGGACTCAAATGCTAGTAACACCGGTAGGTTAGCTATTGTCGGTCTGTCAGCCAAAGAGACAGGGAGTATAAAAATATTATAATAATAACAATAAGGCTTTATTTTGATTTCCACAACCACAACCACACCGGGGGAGATAACGGAAACGGCCGTATGTGGTATGTAGATAACGGGATGCAGTTTTAAAGTCTTGCTGGCTGGGTGTGTGATTCAGAGAAATGTGTGTATATTGGTTTAAAGCCGCCGTTAAAAAATAAAAAATAAGGTGAAGGCGACACATTGAAGCTACAGTCACTACCAACCAGCTAGTGTTTCCGACGGGGATGTATTAATTGTATGCGGGGCTGTCGCTTCGCTGTAAGAGGAGCAGTAAATAATTTTATTTTTATACCCCCGTTATGTGACAAATGTAGCTTTTCTTTAAACATCTGGTTAAATATGTAACATTAACGTTAGGCCCTGTGGCAGGACGCAACGTTGGGAATTATAACGGTTATTCTGGAGACGTTGGTATATTTTTTTGCCTTGTCATATTATTTTACAAACCGACGAGCCGTTGGTCACAGGTGTAACGGTTGTTCTCCATCACAGCATAGACGTGTCATACCTCCCCGGTTGTCGTGGTGACGAACGGACTTTTGTTTGAGCCTGTAATGTTCACCACTGAAGAGTAACCGGACCAGGTACCGGATTTCTCCCAGACCGTGCAGAAAGGGGGCCAACTGCGGCCGCCCTCTGCCGGCTTCCGCTCAGTAGTGAGGGTGTAATTATCATGTGGGCTGGGATGTTGGTAGTGGAGGGGTAAACCCACTTAAACTGTACCCACCTCCTTTCTCATTGGTAGAGGGGAAAGTGAAGCCCCTCACCTCTGACAGACTGTAGCTAAACATTAACACACTGTTGCAGAATGAAAGTTAGGCAAGATTATAGAGAGTGTTTTGTAAATGAAATAATTCCTCATTAATGCTGAGGCAATTTCTGTTTCACCCACCTTGTTTGTCCTGTTAACGTTCAACGCTGCTCAAACACAGTGGAGGACGTTTTACTGCTGCAGGCTGTAAGAAAGGAGGCGCACAAGTGTTTAAGATAATACCAGTGTATTTATTTAATAGGGCTGCACAATTATAATACAGTCGGAATCACAATGTGCAAACTGCAGGAAGCTGCAATGGTTCGATAGAGGTCAAATGAGCATTATAACGAGGTAGTATTGAAGGAATATCCTGCTCTACAAAATCCTGCTCCCCAGATTTAGAAAAAACATGTTTGTTTGGCGCAGACCCAACAGATGAGGGCTGTGTATTGGCAAGAATCTGGCGATACGATCGGTATCACGATACAGGGGTTATAATTCAATATATTGTGTTATATACTGTAAGCAAGGTGATATATATGAAAAAATATGACAAAGTTTAGTCTAATTTTAGGAAAACTGTCATAGTATAAAGAACACACCACAATACGCATAACATCTGAGTAAGTTATTTGTTTTATGCAACTAGAACAGTTTGTATTCATCACAACCCTGTAACATCCTCAGTTAACACTCATATCTACTGTTTGAGGGTTTGAATACAAAAATCGATACAATATCACAAAGCAAAATATCACCAGACAGTGCGACGGTAACGACAAATGTTACATTGCGATATTAAAAGTTTCTGTCAAGAATAATTGCAATATGATGTTTTCACCATATGGTGCAGTCCTAGTATTTAAAAGGTTTTGTTGAGTCCGAGCAGTGCAATAAAGCTTTCCTGCAGCCTTGAAATAATTGATGAGGCGAGCCATTCTTGGGTGTACAGTGACATCCTATGCTTTCCAGTGGAACTTTTGTACCTTTTTTGCACCGCAACGCTGAAAACATCACTTTACTTTCACTCAGTAGATCATCAACGCTGTGTTAAATATTCATTTTATCTGCAATGCAGGACTGCAGGCATGTAGCACCCCCTGAAGGTTTGCTTCAATCCCAGAGCCAAGGACGACTAATGTCACTAATATGTGTGTACTGAATGGAAATGACATATAGCCGTGCTGGTGGGAAGATGCTGTGTACAGTCCTTCAGGCCTTTACTGGAATCTGAAAACGGTAACCAGACGCTTCAATGGTGCATTTAGCTTTCTAGCTTACATAGTGGTCTTATTCTTCCCCTATCAAGGCTGTAGGAAAGCTGAGACGGAGGCAAAACAGAGGAGACACAAGAGAAAAGACCCAGGTGACTGTAGAAACTGGGCCATCAGGGATACCTGTGGTGTCAGAGGAGGGACTGAACACCACACCAGCTCTCTTGCACTGAAGGGGGATTTCTGTTGCCTGAAAGTTGAACCCAGCTTGTTATTTCTGATCTACAGCAGGTGATTACAACAATGCATCACTGTGCAGGTTTAATGGCTGCAACGTGAACTCAGTGTAGAGGACCTGTAGTGGAAATGCATCGCCGTGCCCAGATCATAACTCTCACTCCACTGGTTGTAAATGGAGATTGCGAGAGAGGTTTCATAAGTAGGTATTAGGTTTATAATCCCGATGCTGTAGGGAAGAGGGAATAGTAATCAGATTTATCTGTGACACCACAAATTTCATCCCTCGTTTCCGCCGTGCTGTAGCTGTACAAAAATAGACTGCATCTTATAAACCAGTGTTTGGAAAAAAAAAACATGATAACAGCTGTTTGGTTTTCACTCATTGAAGCTTATGTTTAAACTCGAAGAACCTTTGAGGTTGCCCACAGTTACGATATTGTCGAGTTAAAATTAAACAGGACAAAACACGGATGAGAATAAAGTAAAAAACAGACATTAAAGCAAGTAGCTTCATCATCATGGTTATATATTGTCCGTAAGTTAGTAGAGTTCGGGACACTGAGAGAAAATAACTCGGGTTATGCTCGGGGGAACCTTAAGCATAAGTCATTTAAGGGAGTTTATTATGTTACTATTTAAAACCCAATCCTTTTAGAAATAGTTGACGCAACAAACTCACACAAGGACAATACCAAGCTGGCAGTAAGTCATATAATACTAGCTCATAGCAGTAGCAGTGAATAATACCCACAGATTAATACTAGAAAATAATGTGAAAGTGGACAGATTGGGTTCTGTATCAGAGCTGACCTTTGTGCTCTCAGCTCAGAGAAGTTGTTGGTATCTGAGACACACTTGTGTCTGAAACAGTCCTCAGAGCAGCTCCCTGTGTCGGTGGCTTACAGCTCGCAGTGCATTAATCAAACCAGTTCATGTGAGACAGATGGACTGGTAACAACAGCCGCTCTGAGATAATGAGAAAGGACCCGTGTGATTTTCCTTTCTTTACTGTCTTTTTTGACTCAGCCACAGTCACGTGAGTGCAGTGCTGACTACCACAGTGCTTTGTCACTGTAGGCCGCTCACTTCCTCCAATCAACCACCAAACTCACTGTCATTTAGTCAGCAAGACCTTTACTCTGTTTGGCACTGGACGGCAGAGAGGCAGCAAGGAGCTGGGATGGACAAGGTAAATTGTTCTCTGTTTGATTTGAATGAGAGGAGTGTCATTTGCATTGAGCTTTGCATAGAAAATGTACTTGGATTTGGATTTGTCTCCAGATTTTCAGTATCTGCAGGGTTATTTTGTCTTATATGTTTCTGGAAAGAAAAGCTTAACATCTTCTCTCTCACCTATTGTATATATCTAAGAAATGTTAGGAAAGATAAAAGAAAAGGAGAATGGAATACATGAACTGCTGCCGCATCACCATGATGATTCTGCAGTATAAGTCTGATTCTAAATTGCCAGTTGTGAAGTTAAATGAATCCCAGAAAGATTCCAAGAGAACATTTCATTCATCGCATTCTTCCTACATAACTTCCATGAGATGCTCAGGAACTAATTGGATGGTTGGTGTCATATCCATATCCTCAACAAGCATGTAGCACATATATTAGGGAATACGTTAAAGCCTACTTAAATGTAGTCAAGCCATGAGTCATGACTACAATCAACTGAGCTCTTGGTAGCGCGTTTTCACACTGAAGCATAAATATGATCTCTCTTATATGAACTTCTATCACAGCGCACTCACGGGTGACAGCAGAGAATTTCTGTTATGTTGGTTGGTGATAAATCGTGCAAACTAATGTGTGCATCTACGGCGTTCTTGGACGCGATGATATTTGATCAACTACAACTGTGATAAATTTCATTAAGAGTAATTGTTTGTTTCCTACAGTAGCCCAGAACAGACAAACCAAACACTGGCTCTACATAGGAACATTTGTATTTTCACGTAGTTTCAATCTGCAACTCCACAGTCAGATTCCACTAAATCCTTCACACCGGGCCGTTAAGTCTTTTGACTGAACTGAAAAGTCTTTGTTGATTATTACACAATAAGTTGTTATTATGTAATTAGGTTCCTATGTAGAGCCAGTGTTTGGTTTGTCTGTTCTGGGCTACTGTAGGAACATGGTGGTTCAACATAGCGACCCGCTGCTTCTGTAGATAAAATATATAAAAACTGTCACACACTGGACCTTCGAGAAATCAAGATTTGTATTTATTGTATCATCTCAGTGTTTGATTATTACATTTATGCACTTCATACAACATGTTGGGTCATCCTTAAATAGTATGAAAATCTGTATTCTGACACATCTGCCCCCCCTTTTGTGGGCCATTATCATTATATACATTATCTGTAAGCATTTAACTTTAAACTTTGGTCTGTGCACTTGTTATTGCCTATTTTAAAAGTTTTAGTCTAAGCATTTGATACCCTAATTTCAAGCAAAAGAAGATTGCCTGCTGCTTTACTGACAAGGTTAAACTCCAGTGTTCTCGCCAGTAAAACAGTTTATTGCCTCATTGCTCAATTTGAAATGATGAACAAGGGTCAGAATCAGAGGTGTTATCTGTCGGTGCTCGAACTCCTGAGTAGTTCTTTAATCAAGTGCATTCAGTAGTTGCTTTAGGGGGCTGGGTGAAGTTATAAGTTAAAGGTTCTGCATGGCAGCCAAGTTGTGCAATCACCTTTTTTAATGTTTACTCATCATTCTTATCTCCTCTAGAGGTACAAGCTCAAAATATGACCTCTGTCTGAATGTGTGTGTATAAGAGGGAGATGTTTGAAGTCACTCGCCCTTGGCTAGTTTAGATTAAGATGTTTTCAGTTACTTTAAATCATTTATTTGTCTCGTTTATCAAGTCTCCTCTTTAATAGTTTAATTAACTGAAAAATTAGTTTTTGCATCCTTTAATGTGATGTAAGGGTTATGCGGTCTGGAGAGAAGTAATATCAGCTCCCATGCACTTTCTTAACAGTTTATTTTTTCTCTTGCTGTGACAATAAAAGGAATTCCTCAGAGATTGTGCCTACGAGTGATGCCACTGGGCTGCGCACACTGCACACTGAGGCCAGCTGTTTCCATACAGACTCCAATTGTCATGACAAGACAGTGCAGCCAGGCTATGTGGGTCAAATAAATGTCCTGGTGCAGACACAGTTGTATGGTGTAGATGAACTGAAGTGGACGAGTAACGCCGTAAGCATGGTAAAGAAGGAGGCAGATGATGGGTGACTCATATAGGACTGCAGTGCTCTTTACAACCCATACATTTTCTCCTCAGTCTTATTAGCAACAGAACATACAGTCTTCTGTAAACGACGGTACGAAGAGAAACCAGCGTGCTGACTGTGGAGTTAACAACATGTCAAGGAAGTCCGTGACAGGAAACAGGGAAATGAAAGCAGCGAGCAGTAGGTGAGAAGGTGGACTGCTCGGGGAGAAAATGCTGAGGTCCGTTAACAGTTAGAGATGAGCAGTGGAGGAGGGCTGTGAAGCTCCAGAGAGCAGAGAGGACAACACCCAGCCAACAGAGAGCAGAGAGGCGGCTCTCTGACCTGTTCACTGAGGACTCCCCCCTCTCCTCCCCCCTTCCTCCACCTCTGGAGCAGCCAGCGAGGGCCTCAAGCCCCGTCCAAACTAAACACACCAGACCACAGCTGCATTCATGAACCTAAACCTAAACTTCCACGCATATGCCGTGCAGTCTCTCTCTGTGACTCTGAAAATGAGGATTCAGTGTCACCGGTGTCACACGACTAGACGCAGAAACACTTCACAGAGAAACCCACAAGTCAGCAAAGATCTGAGACGGAAAAAAGCTGTGTTTGAGAGTCGTGACTCGTGACTGAGGGAAATGATGGGGGAGGGCTGGTGAGGAGGAGAGAGGAGGAGGCGGGTTGTGATTGGTGGATGGAGGGGGTGGAGAGAATGAAAGGGGAAATGGGAAGCATCTTTTCACACTGAGGGCATTCTGTACCAAAAATAGGGAGCGTCTTGGCGACATCAGACATATTTCATCTGTTTGCTCAAATGTGATTGTTTTAGCACGCAGAGGATAGAGCTTCTCCTGTATGACTCCGGTTTCACACCGAAAGAGCTTATGCATAAAACATTCATGTCGTGCTCAAGGACATGCATGACGTGCAGATGTTCTAGTGGTGATAGATGTGTTTTAACAGAAAGTAATCCCTCTCTAGTGATTGCTAAAGCTCTTATTTTGAAGGATCTGTCAGCAGTGTTGCCAAATTCTGCCGTGCAGTGGTTAACTGTGGAAATGTATTTAGCGCCATTGTCCTTTAGAATGAATCAATGACACACAGAGTTTTTGATAATCAAGGGGGCTGATTGGGGCGGATTCAACAAGTCGATCAATAAAACCAACTGTTCTGATAATTGATTAATACATTTTTCAGAGAAGAATGCCAAACATTCCTTCACTCCAGCTTCTATGTTGTGAGGGTTTGCTGCTTGTCTTTGTCTTACATGAGCACATGTGTTGCTTGCTTGGTCTGGCATTCATCAGCGGTGTATCATGTGCTTCTCGTTTTAACTGGGCTTAGATTCAATTGCCCAACTAACATACAGCAGCACTGTGAGCATTGTGTCTTTGTTCTGGTCATCAACAGTCGACATTAAAATACTAAGCCAGCCTTTTAGGATTTATCCACCGTGGCGACCCCTTTGGAAGTTTTTGTGTGGATGGGCTGAGACAGATAGAAAAAGATGCGTTTTTAAATGTAACCAGCTCAGTGTGAACATACTCTCAGTTCCTGTCAGCGCTAAAGGTCGCTGTAGTTTGAGAACTAATTTTTCAGGCTGTATCACTCACGTATGGAAATCTTAGATGGCACCTCTTATTCCTTTGGAAAGAAGTGTCAAATCAACGTAATGTAACAAGACAAGCAATTTAATCACACTACCTGGGGCTTTTGTGAAGTGTGATGGACCAAACAATCAATAATTGATTGTGGAAGCAATCATTAGTTGCAGCTATAACTCACTGATATTGATTTTTGGGGGGATTTTTTTGCTGTGTATTTTACGTGATGTAACAGCTGAAAAGTCTGTGCTGTTTAAATGTACTGATCCTCTGTTTTGTGGAACATCTACTTTATGAGATTGTTGAATGTGAACAGGTCCCTGTGTGCTATTTCTTTACAGATATCCCCTAACTTGAACTGACAACAGCTGCAAGGAGACGAGTGGACATAATCAGACTACGTAATCCCACTTGGACAGCAACACACGACTGTAACAAACAACAAAAGACAACGACAACCCACCGAGTGAATAGCTAACAGACAGATTGACACTTTGACCAGCCAGGGCTTTACATAAATGGCTGACAAGCAGATCAGGTAAGGTTAAATGTGTAACGGCTACAAACACAGCCGCACTGTGGCTTTTTGTTTTTCACGTATTGAACTTTCATATTTCATGTTTTTCTCTCTTCCTCTATGGTCGTCACCTTCATCCAGTTTGCCTGCCAAATTGATCAATGGGGGGATCGCTGGCCTAATTGGAGTGACCTGTGTGTTTCCCATTGACCTGGCCAAGACTCGCTTGCAAAACCAGCAAAATGGAGCTCGCCTTTACACCAGCATGTATGAGATTTCTGTATTTTCCTTATGAACAGTCTCTTCACTCATTGGGCTGTGGTCAGAACTAATCAGTAGTATCGCCCAGCTCGGCATCAGATTCTTTGACTAACACACCACAACTGTTGTATTTGTGTTTCAGGTCAGATTGCCTTATTAAGACCATCCGGTCAGAGGGGTATTTTGGGATGTACCGAGGTAAGTCTTTTACTTTGACAGATTGTTGTGTTTAACACATGAGGTTCCTGGGATGTCGGAGCAGTGTAAAAAATGAGAGCGTCAAATCTGTTAGGCAGCTTCATAGTGAGGCTACAGACATCAAACACGGGGATCTGCGTGTCACTGGTACAGGCAGTTATCTGGGAAAAAACCTTCCACCATTTACCACCTCATTATCTCTCTCCCTTCTCTGTTTCTTCTTTCCTTTTTCTTCTTTGTGCCTCTTTCTTTCTTGCTCTCTGTCCCTTTTATCCTCCCAGGAGCGGCGGTAAACTTGACACTAGTCACGCCAGAGAAAGCCATCAAATTGGCTGCCAACGACTTCTTCAGGCATCACCTCTCTAAGGATGGGTGAGGCATGAAAGTGCTGACAGGCCGACTGACACGCACACACTCCCCTCATTCTCACTCTGATTAACTGCTGTGTTTACTAACATGTAACCTGACACATTAGCTGTCTGTATTCTCACCGAGCCTCTAGTTAATCCTCCACTGTTCTGTCATCTCCTCCAAGCATTTCACGGCGGGTTGCTAACTGTCTGGTTTAAAATAACCGAATTGCTTGCACGTGTGCCAGCAGAAATTATGTTACCAAGTAAAATTAGCACACGATGAAATCACATGTCAAACATTAGCAACCGTCATCTGGAGTTGCTGAAATCAAGCACCCATTGTCCCCCATGAGCACTGTCTGCATAGATAAACCTGAAGGTTTCTGGGGCATCTATCTCCATCTCTATGGTAACAAACGTGCAGGCTGATGAATGATTGACTTGTCTGGCCCAGCCGCTCACCTTGTGAATTATTAATCTGCCCTTGTGCCTGACATGTTGATATGGAAGACAAAGATTAGCATCACTAACACTAACTCCCTTTTTGAGGACTGCAGAAATAAAGTTGTCTGGTTGTGCTGGTGCATGCATTTAATCTTCTTCCTTATGTTTTTTTCCCCCCAGAAAACTCACTCTGTTCAAAGAGATGCTGGCTGGGTGCGGGGCAGGTACATGCCAGGTGAGTGAGTGAGGGGCTGCTTTAATTGCCTCCTCCTGTTCTCCATCTGGAACTGCTGCCTTTAGCACTGCCAATGTCAGCTCACGCACCAACCACTGGGCCTCAGCCATCGCCTCATTTGTCACTGCCTGAAGCCAGAATGAACCACGACCACATTTAAATGAGAGGTGGTAGTCACAGAAACATGCGTCTCTGCAGATTGACCCTGTTATCTGGGATCTCAATGTAGCTTCTGCCGTTCCATTTTCATGAATGATTTTTAATCACTGAAATGTCCCGTTAGCAGGCGATACACTGGCAGCTAGATTTGAGTGATCAGATAAGGCGCTGTGAGAGTGCTTGGCCATGTGCTCTGAGTGAGTGAGTCAGAGGGAAATGCCTGTTGTCAATGAGGGCAAAGGCTTCAAGCCCGAGGAACGTGATTAGATTAAGTGTAGCAGACCTTGGATTAAGATTGCAGTTGAGAACATGGCCATCTCACCCGTAATCCAGTTAACTAGTTACTACTGCTTGGATTACAGAGGAAAACAAGAGCTGACATTTAGCTAACGGATGCCAGTAGATTTACACTGGACACACATTTTGCTTGACACATTCAGTTCTAATCAAATTACTTCACATTCACATGGAGGTAGATTTGAGCTGATTGATTGGTTCACTCTGTGCATATGTTGTTACCTGACACCTTTGTTTTGTTTTGTTGCAGGTTATTGTCACAACTCCTATGGAGATGTTGAAAATCCAGCTCCAAGATGCTGGACGAATTGGTAAGAGGAAATTAAATCCAGATGGTGGTTTAGGAAAGAATGAAGGGGAGAAACTGGAGAAACAGTGGCCTCATGTGGTCATCTCAGAGATTACAACACCTTTCTTCTGCTTTCTTCTTACTGCTATGAATTCAAAATGTCTGCCCGTATATCTGTTCTTAGCATTGTGTGACTCTTGTAGCCTTATATGAAACTCGTGCTGTTGTTAATGTTGTGTTTCTCATGCTCCGTAGCGGCTCAGAGGAAGCTGATGCCAGAGACGGTGGCAGCAGGTACTGTGGAGACCAAGTCCCCGACCGCCATGCAGCTCACCAGAGAATTACTGAGGGAAAAAGGTATTGCTGGGCTCTATAAAGGGCTTGGTGCCACATTGCTCAGGTAAAAGAGAGTAGTAGTAGTATCACTAACAAACAACTGTAATGAACTTCACATGACTTACTGCGATTTGTCTTATTTGTCTTATTTGTCTTATTTGTCTTATTTGCAGGGATGTTCCTTTCTCCATCATCTATTTCCCCCTTTTTGCCAACCTGAATAACCTGGGCAAAAGAGGCGTGGACGGGCCTGCTCCTTTCTACGTGTCGTTTCTATCAGGCTGCCTTGCCGGGAGCACGGCGGCTGTTGCTGTCAACCCTGTTGATGGTGAGCTGTGGGACATTGTTACAGCGATGTGTGCGCCGTTAGTCGATTTCATATATTCACCTGAGCTCTGTGTGTGTTGCAGTGATAAAGACTAGACTGCAGTCGCTGAACCGAGGAAGCACAGAAGACACATACAGTGGAGTGACTGACTGTATCAGGTGACCTCATTATGTCTTTACTGCTGCAGCATGTGTGTGCATAGTCAAGTCAAAATGCATTTAAAGTGAACTGTCACACAAGATTGCCTCAACACACTTTACAAATTAAAACAACAACAGAACTAACAATGATACAATTGATATAATGTGTTGTTAAGAAAGACTAAGTCATCACCAACACCATATCTGCTGGCACATAACTCTTGCTGGCTGCATGTGTCACTTTTTTAATGACCTTTTTTTTTGCTCTTCAGGAAAATCCTGCGTAATGAGGGTCCATCAGCCTTCCTGAAGGGGGCCTACTGTCGAGCCTTGGTCATTGCGCCTCTGTTTGGCATCGCCCAGGTGATCTACTTCCTTGGTGTGGGTGAAATGATCCTCAGCTTCTTGCCTAAAAAAGACAACTAAGAAGCACCTCCTTTCTGCCTTTCCCTCCCATAATGCATCAAACCAACCGCGTGAGGATTCATCTCATTCTGAAAGAAGTTTTTTTTCGATGGGTCAAAGCCTGGCCAATCCGTACATTTTGTTTTACATTTCTTGTGTTGAATGTTGAAATAGTTTAGGAGGGAGCCTTTGTTTGCCAAGCTGCCTGTGGTGGCACACTTCCAGTAGGCATGCTCAGCTAGCTCTCTGGAAATGAAGCCACAAATATCAGTTGAAGTTTTAAAGGAATATTGCTTTACAATTACATTTTATTGCATTTTTGAATATGATTGTTGAATTTTCACAATACTTGTACTGCCCTTGGTTGCTGCAGTTCTGCAAGCCCTACAGTACCAAATTTAGGTACTAAATTAGTCATTTACAGTACTAAGTTTTAATTATAAGCCGTAACTAGATGAATTAAATGCACATACTTTAATTAGAAAAATATGTGAGAACATTAGATCCGGTAGAATATTTACTGCAGATGCTATTCAAAGAATTCCCCCCAGACCTTATGTCTTAAAAGATAGCATACTTAGAGCAAAATATATGCCTCTGTTTCAGACAGACACAGGGAATGTGTTGATTTGATACCAGCACACACCCTGTGATCTTTTCTGAGAAGCCACATCCCTTCCTGTAAGTGGTTTTAATGAACTCAGCCATTCAGCTCCGAGCAGACTTTGATTGCCTTGGCTTTTTAGGTAGATCAGGTTCCATCTGATATTTAGTGCTACCACAATGGTTCGACTGTTTTGCCTCTGTGAAAGATATCTCACGTTTCGTAGTCACACACTAGACTGAGGAGACGGCGTACAACATTTGGGCATTATTATGCACTACCAAACTATGTGTAAAGGTTAACCTCGACACAGAATCACATAAAAAAAAAACTGCTTCTATTCTTCTTCCTATGGGTCAAAACCGTCAACCATGTTGTGCTTGTGGCCACACCCCAATCAGTGATGTCACAGCGGGGGTTTAGCCTTTGACGGATAATGGGAAAACACCTGCTGTGACATCACTGATTGGATTGTGGCCAAAAGTGTTGCATGCTTTAAAAAATACAGTCCACGGAGAACAGTGCAGTTTGTGCGATTTTCTGCCCCTTTGTGATTCATTGTGTATTCAGACGAAAGCATTAGCTGTGAACACTAAATGGGTTGAAAGTAATTTTAATAGAATTCCTGATTATTGGTAGATGTTCAGTAATTATGCTGACAAATGGTCAGACATCGTATGCCGAGGCCTCGTGATTACAGTCATCCATTGTGGAGCCAGCAAGACCTTAGCTGGAGTAGTAAACCCCTTAGATCCAGACATAATTATTGTTGTTTACACATGAGTTCACGCTTGATTTAAATTCTTTGTCCGAACTTGAATTCAGTGGCAGGAGCCAAAGAGCTAATGAAAAACATTTCTTTATCAGAAAATTAAACCAATGTGGTTTCAGTGTTTTATAAGTTTTACCAAACATCTCTGCTTGTTTGCTTTAGAGGTTTTGTTTGCTTTAAGCTGCTAGGGAAAGCAGCCCCGTCTATCTTGTTTATGCATCACAACACTGAAGCCCTGCCATTGGTTTATCTCGCCGGAGATCAAGGTGACTTTGATGTGTGTTATCCAATCACATTCCTTCCTCGCTCCCGCTGTTCAAGCAGCTCGTCAATTGTACTGTTGCACTGTAGATACACGATGCAACTTTTCAATGTATTATCATTTGTGGGAGTGAGGTCTATTTATCAATATTCCTTTCTATAGGCAGTATAGCACTATATATTTCTATGTGTTGTTTTTTCTGTGTCAAAGTGTCCACCTTAACTATTGTACATATGCAGATGATATGAACTTTATGTTTTAGGATTTATTGTTTGTTTTGTACATGATGGCTTATTTGCACACCTACCTCTCCAGCCCCCCCCCCTCGATCCATATTGTGGTGATTTTATGTTACGATGATGTGTACATATCAAATGAAGAAACACGTTTTAATGCAACAAGCATCATTTAAACTTAAATGCAGCATATCGATGAGGGTTTTTTTACTGTATGCAAAAGGGGAACACTAGTGTAGATAGGATGGTTTTTTGGAGGTGCCATTTCTCCCGTGCTGTCTAAGCTGGGTCGGCCGTTTGTCCTGTTTCCTACAGTTTTACTAACTGGGACCAAATGAAGCGTCATATAATGAGGATTGCAATGTAGTTAGTTTTAAGTGAATGACCTATGGCACTACTTAAACTGTTCTGGGAATGAAATACACGGTGGACAAGGCCAGTAGGGACCTGCTGACATTAGACTGTAAATCTAACATCTGTCTTTTTGAATGGTGCTTCTTTCACGAGGTCGCTGCAATACGACGGCGGCCGCACTAACGACCAAGGCTGTACCGACTGAAACACATGCTAGCGGATCTCAGCATTATAAATGTCTTAACTGAAAGCCATAGGTCAGGGAGGGGCAAAAGAACTACTAGACATCGACTGGCACCTCCAGCCATGTTGACAGAGGACAGCTGAGCCACAGGAAAGTGGCACAAAAAAAAAAAGACCTGCCTACTCGTGTGAGCTTGTCTTTATGAATTACTGTTGTAGTTTTTTCAACATTCCGATTGCTAGTTCATCTCATATATATGACGTGTATTGTGATTATAATGCCTATTTTTGTGTTTATGTGAGATTATTGTTATGATTTTTGAATCCCCCCAACCCCACCCACTCCCCCCTGGTTGTTTTCAGATTTTATCGTCTGTTTTTGGTTGAATCTTGAAAATGTTGTGCAAAGTCATTTTGTTTTACACAGCTGTGAATCTTCACTGACCTTGTGCATTTGGTTATGTATGTGCGTGTGTGTCTGACTGTGTGTAGTTCTGTAGTTGATGTGTAGTGGTTAGTGTGACACTGCGGTATTTTTCTCTTTGATTGTCAGACCCATGCTCTCTCCCCTCTTTTCTTCTATCTGTCACACTTCTCTGCGATCTCCTCTCCCCAGCATCCACAGCCAGGGGATGCAGGTTAATACAGAGGAGCTCTAAAAACACCAAATGTATGACTTAGAGTGTATACAATCAAAGAAAGCACAAAGGATTATTAGGCACAAGAGACCATATGGCCCATTTTGATTATACTCAGACAAAGTCCTTTCAGAACAATGTGCTGCTTTTGCAGATATGGATTAAAGTCCGATTTATTTCAGTGGAGATGTCGTTTGAGATTAACTTTTTAGTCTTGTGAGAAAGTTTATCTATGTCTGTAAAACTTGATCGATAGGGCTGAGACAACAGGATGAGAGACCCTAGTGATGGTGTCCACTATGTTAACCATCAGCAGTTATCCACAAAAAATGTATATCGCCTAAATATTCTAAATGAATCAGATATAAGAATGTAACTTAGATATTATGAGATGTATTATAAATATAGTGAAGAGTTTATTAAGTTTTAATCGAAAGATTTGTGCTTTACACATTCACTGAAAAATCCATGAACCAGCTCACTGATATGCAATAAGTAGGAGACACACACAGACACACACTTGAAAAAACAAATTAAAAAAACAGAAAAAAAAACAACAACACAACTTGTCAATTAAAAATCACACAATGTATGATGCAACTGGGGACCTTGGAGGCTTTTTGGGGTCTGAGCTCTCTTCACGGCCTCTGTTGTCTTCCTCCAAGAGGAATTGTGCATTACAGCACTTTAATACAAGGATCCCCCACCCCCACCCCACTGTCCATCTACAAAGTCTCTCTGTGACAAAGAGGGTGTTTATGAATACGTGTGGTGAATGACACCGTTGTCCTACACACTGATGACAATACAATGGAAAAAAAATTAAGTAAAATATTGTGTTTCCTGTCACAATTTGCTGTTCAATAAACTGACTGTCCTCAAATTGCCTGATGTAGTTGTCTGTGCTGAAGGTTTTTTTTTTCTTTCTTTCCGCATCATCACTGTATCTGCTTTCAAGGTCCAGTGGTCGCCTGACAGAATACAGAACAACTGACACTGCCATTTTTTTGGGCCTGTAATAGTGCTGTGATAACCAAACAGCAGGGCGATGTTTTTAAGAGTGCGAGGATGACAATGTGGGTCCTCGGGGCAACGAGAACAGCTGAGACTGTTGTGATGATTTGCTGCCAAATGGAGCCACCAGGTGTCAGTGTGGGGTCGCAGGAGAGTTGCAGTCCCTCCGTGGTGGGAGTGGGATGTGTGAGCAGTGCTACACACTACAGGTGTAAGCTAAGCTTGGATGGTGTGGCAGTAAATCACGCTCCGATCTCTCCGTCTGGATATGTTATTGTCAGTCATGCAAGTTTCTGTCTCTTGCAGCTGTGATACTGCGCGTACACAGATGTGCTTCTTCTTGCCTGTGATCTGTGTGGTTTCACGTGATAAATAAGGTGTTTCTGTGTGATTATAAGTTGCATGATAAGGATATGGAAATGTTGTTTTCTTCTGGATTTCACAGAATGTTTGATGTTTATAAATCCCTCATGGTTGCTGCACGTTTTAGCAGTACTGATGTGATGACAGGGGTTATTCATTATTAATCCCCTGCTGTTTGTTATGTATATTCAACATTACTGTTTATAGTTTGCAGGGTGCTATTTTGCAGCATTATTACATCATAGCACCTTCATATAGGCCTTACCCTGCACACAAGCACACATGCACACTACTGTTTTCTATATGTCTGTCTTTGTATCCAGGTCTTATTTCAGCCAGAGTCAGATTTCATTTATTGAATTTTGTGCCTCTTTGAGAGATTCCTTTCATCAGACTATCTACTCCAGTGTTTACAGACATGAGAGATTAGCCAAAGGCTCAGTTTACCACAATGACAAGACTTTGAAATATAGAAATGAGCACCCGCCACTGTTCTTATGCTCATTCGAATCCCTTTCATGTGTCATGACTTAAGCTTCCCACCGTGAACTATTCTTAGTCTCTCGTGCTTTCTAGCAAGAGGAGAAGAGAAGGTAGAGGAAACGGTAGTCTAAGTTGAGCTTAAAGGGAGAGGATGATGGAGGGAAGTAAGACAATCAAGAGGTGGAGACAGTAAAGGACCATCGATAGAAGGAACAGAAAGCCGGAGGAAGGGAGGGGATGGTGTTGATGTGTATATAGGTCACTTAATCAATGGGAATCAGGTTTTTGAAAGGGAGAGTAGGGGGGAATCTGGGAATAGACTGTGGTCAAATTAGTCTGCAGAGAATTCTAACAAATGAAAAAACATTCTCAATAGTGAACAAATTGCGTAGAGCGCAGTGCAAAACAAAATATAATCAAATTGAAATCACTGCAGGATGCTTTGAGCAAATGACCTTCCCAGCTCTATTGACAAAACGCAGGCAAACCGTTAGTTGCGGTATTGCAAACACCCACAGCATTTGCATCCACAGTACAGCTCTACTCATATCCTTTTGAATAGTAATCTGTGATATCAGAGAGCCCCATGATTGAACGGAATATTAGCTTTCTATTTTGCAGGCTTGTAAGGAGAAGCTGCATATTTATCACTCGGGCGCACTGAGAGCCACTGAAAGGCTGTGAAGTACAATACAAACATGACAGACCGCATGGATGCATTGTAAAGATTTCAGGTCAGAGGTTATTGGTTGATGGACATGCACTGCAAGGATTTCCATTTTTATACCATAGATTAATTACTCAACCATTTCTACCCAGTAGAAAAGTGGTGGTGCTAGCTGTGTGCAGTAGTTTTAATAACTGTCATGGCTTATCCCATTTATTTTATAAGTCTACCCACTCTATGTAACAAGAAGTTCCATCATAAATTGGAAAATTGCTCTAAGAACAAGAAAGGAAAAAAAATAATTGTATTAAATTGCCTTCTGACTGGATTTTTCCTGGACTAAGTCAAGGTCACGGACACATTGTTCTTTCCTCACTTACAGGGCTGCCTATGTGTGATGTAAGACAGCCTGAATACTGAGTGGTAAAATAATCTACATCTCATTGCTGCATCTAATTTGGAGAGTATTTGCATAGCAGCCACATCACCTTGCATCAAAAACTGCCAGAGGACGCACACAATTACTCCTTGAGAGCTCTTAATCTCCGACCTGTGCCTAATAATGTGGTCAATAAACTCGCACAGGACAGCGTCTTGAATACGAGACCATCTGACCACTGTTTGTGTAAAGGGGTGAGGACCACGCAGCAGGTGGAACATGATTGAAGTAACTGTCCCTCTTCTTATATCAGTGTGTTTTAATACACCATTAAAATGTGTCCACAGGATGTTGTTGTTTTAATGACTCCACTACATTTATTTGACAGCAATAGTGACTTTAAGCTTTTAACGATTATTATTCATTAATCTGTGGATCATTATTTCAGTTCATGCCCATCCTGATGTCCCAAAGCCCAATGTGACATCTTTAATCTAATAGAATAAGATATATATTGTTATGGATTAAAGCACTCAGCATTGTACAGGGCAGCTAAAATTAGCTCAGCATTAATCAGGTACAACTATTTAAAATGCTTCTGATCCATTCATGAATCTATAATAACAAACTATATTACAGTTTGGATCCGGGTTCAATGCAGAGGTCAAATTTCACTTGTACTGTTTATGACTGTATATGCCAATAAAGTTGATTCTATATTTAGTCTGCTGGAAGAGTCTAATGTTTAATTTTATGTCATGTTTTTTAATACAACATTCTGCACAATGAGTACTTTTACTTTTAGTACATATATATAAAATATATATATAATATATTTGAACTTTGAATGTAGAGCTTTTGCTTGTGATTAAGTGTTTTGGTAGCCTACTCATAGAATGTATATCTGTATACTAGAGCTGCAACGATTAGTCGATTAATAAACTAGTTGACAACTCAGTTAGATTAATCACTAACTAATTGATTATTCGTTTTAGGAAACCAAACAAGACATTTGAGGATCTCACTGTGGACAATAATCAACATTTTCTGAACCAAACAACTGATCGATTAATCGAGAAAGCAGCCATACTGTATACTCCTTCTACCACTAATGAGATTCCTAATTAACCCACGCAACCCATGTAGGTGGGCTGTAATTGCACTCCTCATCACAACGCAGAGCAATGTAAAAAAACAAATAAAACACAAATCAATGCACAAACAGCATCAAGAATCGCACGTGGCAGCAGAGCAAACAGGACTTCTTAACACAGCTGCAAAAAGTCACTTCTTCCCATTTTGTCCTCTGAGCCACAGTGAACCGGTGGTTATTAGAGAGAGAGAGAGAGAGA